AAAGAACGGTCCAATTCTGACTAAAACAGTCAGACATATTTTTTTCATTTATTTTTTCTTAAGTCCTAGGACAATATAAATAATTCAGACTCAGGTTTAACTCTGCCATCACTGGCTATTGTTTTTCCTATTTTCTATTTCCAGGACAGATGAATTGTTGCTGGTCCAGGCTGTCAAATGTTTTTATTTATCTTGTTTCATTTGATTCTAAGGTCTGCTGGTGTCCCGCCTCTGACTTACAGTTGTCTCGTATGAAGGCATTAATAGAAGACACAACAGAGAGAACAAACTGTTCCTAACAGATGTTCTCTTTACTAAACCTTTAAAGCTTGATAAAAAAAAATGAAAGCACTACGGGAACCATTAGCCGCCCCCACAGATTACTGTTAAAGTTGCATTAAGGAATGGTTCACATCTGGTTATTTAAAAAAGAATGATGTCATAGTGTCTGTGGGTGTTACAATAAGAGACATTAAACCTAGCTTTTCAGCACATGATAATGACAATGGATTCTGCTACATACACATGTACAGCTAATGCTGTAGATGTGTGGATTCCTGTGTCATTAAAAGTAGTTCTGAAACCAGCGCTCGTTATTTCTGTGATTCAACATAATGTCATGTTTGCCCCGAACGTCTCTTCTGGGACACGACGTCTCAGACAGAAGATGTCAAATGATCCTCCTGGAGCTAAGAAACGTCAACACTGTTTGCAAATACATCACAAGTCGAACTGACTGACACCACCCGACGATGAACGAGTGTAAGTGTGTTTCATTTTCTCTCTCTCCCCCTGGTTTATCTAAACATATGAAGGTGGTGGAGTCAGGGAGGCAAATCTGTCACCCGCAGGTGTGTAAACACGACACCGAGCTGTCGGATGAAGCATGATGAAGCACTGGAGCAATATCTGCTGTGATGCCAGTCAAAGATGATTACTGCTTCGTTAGTCATAACAGCATAATTGATCTGACCGTCTGATATCCAGTGACCCGTTCCTAGTTTATAAAACCTCGGCCACAATCAGCGATGGTTTCAGACCCTTCAGTTTTCCCACTGTGGCACAGGTAGAAAAATATCAGAATTAGCCTTTGTGCAGTTTCACCTCACATACATAACTGTGGATAAATAAAAATGAATCCCATCAATGTTATTACCACATAAAAATAAACACTGCAACAGCAGCAGCTAGTTGTTTGAATTACTTTCTAACTTCTTCTATCATTAAATATCAACGTAGCG